ATGTAAATCTTCATCTACTACACCTATGTCATTATAAGAATCATGTGAAAGTTCTCCATGAAAGCCAAATAGAAACTTTGGTTGATGTTTGTAGACATTAAAAATTTCTTTAATATAATTCAGCATTACCTGTAAGAATAATAGTAATATATGATTCTATAATTTAATATAATAAATATATTAAATATTAATGTAGGAATCAAATATACCATATGTCTAGGAATGCTTCCAATGCAAAATTTGTTATAATATCTAAAATATGGTGCAGCAGCTAAATAAAATGTTCTCATATAATGATCAGTCGGTTGTTTTTTAAAACCTTTTAAACGATATGTGAAAGTTCCAATATGATGAACATCTTCCATAAATCCTGTTATATAATTATTCTCTTTGTACTGATTCCATATCATTGGATATACATCAATGTAGCTTGCCTTCGCTCCCATGCGTTTTCTAGTATCTGGAAGTTCAAGTTCAATCTTTCCAGTAAGAATAGGAATAAGAGCTTGCGGTGTTCCATCACCTACTATATTATATCCTTCTAGTATTAAAGCTCCCAGGTATTCTTTCAAATATTGATATGTGTTTGGCAATTTACGTATAAATGTATTTCTAGATAGAGAATCAAAGCCAAACATAAGTACATTTAATTTAAGGGCCTTGTTCCCAACATATTCCCATTTATTTTTTTCTTTTACTTTAGGATCATCCTTTACTCCAACCATAATACTATGCCATCTAAAAAATTTTATAAAGAATAAATTCATTTAGTTTGCTAATTGATTATTTTAATATGTTTTCCTTACTTATTTCCATCTTTTGATTCACATTTTACATCAACAAAATCACTATGTTTGAGAACATAGAAATCATCAGACTCAACAGCAGTTTCAAATAATATATTGTAATCATCATTTCTAAGAATTTCTATAAACAGTTGAAATAATTATGTTCAGTAATACGAATGTTAATATGTATCATCCAATTTCAGAAAACTCACCACTGAAAGAACAAATCACAGATCCATATTTTTTCTTTGCTTTACTGCTGATAACTAGTTTTGAACCATGAAGAATAACCCAGTCTTCTGGTGTACATTGCAAAGGAGGAACATCATGAATAAATTTGATGATTTCTGGATTGGAAATATCTAATTGGGGTAGTTTGCAAGCCACAACTCCTTCCCTAAAGGCATATAGATCTCTTTGCTTTTTTACAATTAAAATATAATTTTTCTAATAAAATTATATGTACCCAATATAAGGTTGTTCAGATTCCTTAATTAACTGTGATATATGTATTCTGAAATGACATTAATTATTACAATTAAAGACACATTCTTACATTACAAGGTATTAAATACATGCTTACAATTTATCCAAATTTGACAAATCATTGTCATTAAATCCCAATTCAGAACGAAAAACTTGAACAACACAAAACAGCAATAAGACAAATAATGCTGTTATTATTAGACGGCGGAAATAACATGACATAATCTTCATCTTTATTCAATTTATCATATCTGAAAGATAAAATTTACATTTTTATCTTATTTTATGAATTAATTTAATTCCTTAAAATACTCAAGTGCTGTAAACTTTAAGATTTAGTATAATTTTCAACAATTGTTATTAATATTGTTAATATTGTGGTTAATAAGTAAAAACATTTATGTATAAGCATAAAAATTTATTATAGACATTAATAATTAGCATTAAAATTAAACATCAATTTAAATAATAAAAAGAATATTTTAGAATACAATATAAAAATCCAATTTAAAAAAGACAATGTATCAGTTAAACAAAATTGTTTATAATTTGTTAAAATTGAAATTATACCTCGATATTATCATGTAATGCCTGTTAAATTATTAATGTTCATTTTGTAAGAACATTGTACAAAATTATTTCTTACTAGACGTAGGACTAATTTTTTATTATTAGAAGATTACAATTATCACATATGGAAAAATTAACTGGCAAGTTTCTGTTAATATAAATATATATAAAAACCGATCCAGCAATTAGGTAAATGAATAAATACTGACAATGTCTTATTTCGCTCTTAGTGTTAGCCTTATCGAATTCTTAAAACGATCTTTGAGTTAGAGAGGAACTTTGATTTAATGCATAAATTATATAATATATTATATAATATATTGTGACTGTCAATTTTCAATTTCGCAGTACAAAAATAACGTGTAGCTTTTACCTTCCACTGAATTATTGTAAAAGTGACAAGTATATAATGAGCGGAAATTTAATAGCTGGATGTTTCTTAAAGTTTATTCTTCCTCTTTTTGCTCGTTCTTTCATTAAACATTTGTCTTGTTTTATAACACCGAAACGTTGTAACGTCGAAAACACATTGCTGGATATTGACATATTCCTCTCGCAAAACTGCAGAATTGACTGGTTTCAAATTATGGCTACCAGTGGGCGGGTTATTTAAGTCTATACGTATTAAAATTGTTAAAATTGCTTCTTGTACGTTATAGAATGTACAGGCACAAAGAGGGAGGAAAGAGGAAATCAAATACTTTCGCTATTCGCCCATCACAATCATTGATTGATGGAAAAATTTCAACTTAATAAGCTTTTATAAAATTGTAACATATAGGACCCTGATGACACGTATTGAAATATTAGACAGAATTGTTTGATAATATTAAAGATATAAGCAATTAAAATTACACATCTGGTGAATTAGAAACTGTATACTATTATATTGTAAAGATATTAACGTTTTATAACGTTATATATCTATGTCTGTATTTTTATGGAAGGCCCCAGAATCAGAATTATAATACAATATTAATTATTACAATATTAATATTATAGAATTAAAATTGTTAGAATATTTGTGCAATAATGATTCGCAGACTCAAAATGTTTTGCGAAATAATTATATTTCTAAAGTTGTTGTTATTTGATCCAATTGATTTTTGTCCATAAATGCATTTAATTTTCATAATTTTGTTACATATGTATGGATATGAATTTGTTATGTGCGCATAGGTGTATTTAAAAAGAAAATAAATTTAATTTATTTTACATTTCTATTCCATAACTCTATAACTTTTTTACATTTTAACATTACCTTCTTTCTCAATTTACTTTAAATGTCAAGAAATATTTAAAATATTTAAAATATTTAAAATACGAACCTAAAATATTATATTTATGTTTAATATTATCAAAAAAAATATTTCATTTGTCAAAATGTAGTTTCTATTTGAAATATTAAAATTAACTATTTTATTCGAACTATGGTAGTATTACTATTTAAAATTGCATATATTAGTACTTCTTTTCTCATTTCTTTTTCTATCAATTTTCATGATATTTAATTATACTCATACTATATATCATTAAATACGTAACTTTAGTTGCTTATATCTCTAAAATTATCAACTATGCAAGTAATACTTTACACATATGGAGTCCGTGTGCCCGTTGTACAAAAAGTTTATTAAAATCCTTTGTAATTTCCTCCAATTTAAAACTTATCATGTGCCATGACATTCTACACTTCGATGATTTAATTATGTAGTTTTTTCTATACGAAGTTATTTACAATAAATGATTTATGAATCAGCTACATATTGCCACGTATTCTAATCACAAAGTACAAAAGTACGTATTCTTAACTTACAGTTGTACTTTACGTTAATTTGCAATTAATTATTTTTAAGACTTATTACATAAAATGATATATACAATCTTTTTTTTTGGCACTTTACAACAGCACACGCATTATATTTTTAGTAAACTAAGTTATACCGTTCGAAGTAGTCAAAGGATCACTTTCGAATTATCGTGTAAATAGATTTGCAATTTGAAAGGCGATTCCTTAATTACTCCAAGTCGTATAAAAAGACAACGTTACAATAAAATATTTATATAATGTACAATGTAAAATGCACATATCATAAATAGATTTTGAAAAATGTGACGATCTTTCTCCCGTGCAACAATAATCTATTATTTCAATTAAGAAATTGTAGAGGTAATATAATTTCTTAATTGAAATAATAGATTATTGTTGTAGAGTAACATAATTTTAGTAGTGCGTTACAACTTAGTAAGAGTTTATCTCTCATTCGTTCCTTGTGCCAATTTGACATGTTTTTCTTATAAAATATTGCATTATTTTGCAGCATGTAAGTACAGATACAGAGATGGGATTCTGTGACACATATTTTTCCAATGTATAGCATGTATTTTTGACATTTTTGATAACAAAATATACTGTTTGATACTAGTTGCACTAATATTTTGTTTTTAACTTCTTTGATTTCTTTCAGTTCACTGCCTTTTAATTGTTACACCACTAGTTGCACTAATATTTTGTCTTTAACTTCTTTGATTTCACTTCACTGCCTTTTAATTGTTACACCACAATTATGGATTTAATTATTTTGGAAAATACGTGTGGCTATCTTGAATGTAATTGTAACAAATCTAAAATAAATGATCATAGCATGGAGAAAACTAGAGAAGATAAAATCACGAAAATAAAAGAATTTGCAAATTTAATTATTCTTCTCATTGTACGTATTGATATTAGAGATATTAGATATAATGGATATAATATATTGTATATTATATAATAGATATAATATTGTGTCAATTTGGCACTAAGTGAACAAGTGAAAGACAGATGATAGTTGATGATAATATAAATATTTACCATCAGATATTTATATATCCATCCAGCGAACGAATGATAAATTAACAAACGATTTACGTTTTGTATGATACAAGGAACAATTTGTTAATGTGATTTGAATCGAAGTTCTCCAATCTGGTTCCACTTCATTTGGGTTTCTGCGGTATGAAAGAGAATTTCCATGGTATTATACTAGGAAGGCGTTCCCTCTGAAAATATACTCGTTCATTATCATTATTACCACAATGCTATCAATACCAGTTTATCATATGTAGCCATACATTTTCTGTATTATCGTTGGCATTGTTACTGATAATGTGCTGTCGCGGTTCTTCGTTCCTTCTCATTATGCGAGCAGGCCTGTACTTGTTGTATACAACTACCAAACAATCGGGAATTAAACAAACAATGACAATCATGATAGTTAATAACCAGAACGTTATCGACAATAATAACGTCGGGAAGACTCTTAACATATCACCGTCGTACCTTCTGCAAAATACATGACAAAAAAAAAAAGAAAAAAATACGTCAGAGGAATGGAATAAAATTTGAAATTTTAAAATTTACAATATTGCTACTTACGTGGGAACGAACGAATAAAAAAGAGTAAATACAATGAACGTTAGTTCTGACAATGTTACTATTAATACGAGCGGTAGTGTCCAATAGCAACTACGCAGTAGTATCTAAAAATTGAAGATGTGATAGAGAACTTCGTGTAAAACGTATTTTGGTATGAAATTAAAGTAGATACTATATTTAACATACCTGTAGATTGGCCACTAATGTAACTAAATGAAAAACAAATGTACCGAATGTCCATTGGTCTACCGGTGTGTTATTATACAACGTAACAGGATTGATGGATACATACACATGTGACATATAATATATGATAAGACTATGCCATAAAGCTGAAAAGAATATATTAAATTTAGATTACGAAATTTCCACTTCGATCTTCTTGCTAATGAATTGTCTAGTTTACCTAGAGCAGTCCATAACAAAAATTGCCAACCGGTTAACAAATAATTGCGTCGATGCAGTTTGTACAAATACGGTTTGCGTAATAGTTTGTCAGCTGTGAAATTTTGTTCAAACAATCCATACGCCAATATTGGCAAAGACGTGAATATTACATTGTAAAGCATAAAGAACAAGGCATCGTAAAACGGCTGAAAATTTACAGACCATAACATGAATGAAATTATTTGAATTATTCAGTGGTTAAGTGTTAATTTACAATGCGCGAACAACAGCCACTGAGCGATAGTTATGCATAGAGAAAACTTGTTCAGAGAATGTTGTTCCCGACAATATATTCGAAAATCATTAAAATGATGAGATCTTCCGCTTTGTAAATAACTACCGTGAAACGTAAAGATGTATTGGCTACAAAAAATATTCACGTAACACCTAATGCTTTTACTAGGTTCTGCATTTCATTTTTATAATATCATCAAATCAAATGATACAAACGTGCAGCAGTGTGCAAATATTTTTTATAGTCGTGTCTGTTTTGAGAAATTTTAGGATTACCTGCGCAGAGAAACCTGTATACGTGTTATATAACACTTGTGGCGTAATGAAGATAAAATTCTTGTAAAAAAAAAACTGTGTCAGCGTGCTGATTCTAACATAATACCAATGGCCGTGCACCAGCAAAGCTTTCTTTAAAAACCTAAATCTTGCTATTGCAAAATCGGAGCACATTGTCGCTTGTCGACCTTCGTTGCCCATTATTCCGATTCCAACGTCAGCTTCCTGTATCATCGAGACATCGTTCCCTCCGTCGCCAATAGCGGCGGTGTGCGGTCCATTTTTCCCGTTTTTGACCAAACTTACAATCTGCAATGATTAAAAAAAAAAAAAAAAAAAAAAGAAAAACCATAGAGAAATGGATAAAACGCGTAAAATACGTGAAATTTACTTGACTCTTCTGTAATGGTGTTAGCCTGCTGCAAACAACCACATCGCAGGACATTGCAATTGATCTGAATTGTGCCGCATGATTGTTTAGCGCAGTTGCAATACTACATCCATCGGCTAGTAATCCGTACTGTCTGTTAGGCTCGAGCTTTATTCTTCGCCTAAAATCATATGGAAACAAATAGAAATAAATGTGGATCGAAGTTCGGATGACTATAAAAGGCAATCAAATTATACCTACTCAAAATCCATAAGTTTGAGCGAGCAAACTTGATCTGAGATTATTTCTAAGAATCTTAGTATCTCGGTACCACTCTTGAATTGACCGCAAAGAAATGCTATATTTTCCGCAGTTTCTGCTTTGTCGCCAGTCAGCACCCACACCTAATAATAATGAAAAAAGAAAAAGAAGAAATCGTAAAATGTCGACAGATTTTCTGCTTTCTTTCTTTTTGCCTTTTATATTTTGACATTACGAACTTTAATGCCAGCTACTTGCAAGCACTCCAGCGTTTCCGGTACACCTTCTTGAAGACGATCCTCGATACCGGTTACGCCTAATAAAGTGAGGCCGTTTTCCATCTGGTTGTAAGCTCGTTCCATGTATACTGCTCGTTCGATTCCAATTATTTGTCTAGCTTGTTCCACTTTCTGCAGTAGCTGGTCATATTCGATTTGATTCATTTTCTTGTACCCAACGACGAGGGTTCGAAGACCTCTCTAAAAAGGGAATATATTTTTTAAGTAATATTTTAAATAAAAAAAAGTAACGGTCGAACGTGGAATAAGATAAGTGTACGAATTTGTGAATCTACCAACCATAGAGAAATCGGCTACGTGTGCGATTGCTTCGTTGATTTTCCCCGAGACAATTAGTGGAAACATAGCGGAGTCAGCACCCTTGCAGTATAACCAGAAATCACCAGCCGTGTCTTTTACTATTACTGACATTCTTTTCCGTTCTATCAATAGATTAACAAATTTTAACAATCCGCGACTTCACAGACCATTTTCACGGGTCTTCGCGAATACTAACCCGACGTGAATTCCAAAACTTCGAGCTTTTCGAAAGTCAGAACGTTGTCGTCGATTCTCAACTCTATTGTGTCGGTGGTGCTTTTTTGGAAAACGACTCCGCATCTGGCACTGGCTTCGACCAAAGCCTTTTCATCTGCTGATGCTGCCTACCGCATAGTGATCAGATATTTTTAAATCTTCGACCGACGATCAAATTAGCTTCAGCTAATTGAAACAAAACATTGACATTTTTTGCTCAACAGCTTTGTCTTTCATTCGTTATGTATCACGTCAACGCGTAATTCAATGTGTAAATTCGTTGTTTATGCATTTTTAACTCATCGGAGTTAAAAAAAAGAAAAAAAAAAAAAAAGAAATACCTGACGAGGTATTCACATTCGTGATTTGTATTCACAGTGAAAACGGATATTTTTACCTGGTATTCCGGTAAATCAGGATCCATCAGCAGTGAACTATTCAGTTGCAGGATCTTCTTTTGTTTGAAGCTTTCACGGTATTCCGTGCGTCTGCGGATGATGTTGGGTTTTTGGCTCGGTGGTGAGATTTGAACCGAGTGGCACAAAGAGATGCTTATCATAAAATGCCAAATGTCTGGCTGGAATTTGATGGAAAACGTCATTAAAAATATCGACTAAAATGTGAAATATTTCGATTGTAAACGCTGTATTACCTCCCAGGTTTCTAACTTGACTGCTTGATTCTCATCCCCGTTAGAAGGCAGTAGATATAAATTGCCATCGCAGTCTTTTTCCGTGTAAGCTTTCCCATTGATCGAGGCTCGTCTAAACACCATCAGATTTTCGGTGAGCGTGCCGGTCTTGTCCGTGAACAAGTACTCTACTTGACCAAGCTCTTCGTTCAGATCTGACGTGTTGATCAACGCCGACTGATTCGTAACGTTGTCGTACATGTCGATGTCCCAGACGAAGAAAAACGAACCGAGGAATTTCTGTAATTCTGCAACAGGTATAATTGATCGGAGTTTTACTCTCGAACAACTGGACTTAGACTTCTGTGACTTAGATTCACGTTGAGATGACGAAGATAGAAATTCTTGAAGCAACGGAGAAGTAATAAGGAGGAAAACTATTTTTTGAAACTATAACATTATTTCTATGTTTCATCACTTTGTTCTTTAAACATTTATCCAGTTATGGTTAACAGAAGAATGTAATTCTGTGTAGTTTCTTCGTAAATTTGATAAAGAAATTGAAAGATGAAAACGCTTTGGAGTTCAGAGAATAAGATTTTAATTTAATTTTAATAATGAACAGTTGAAATAGCTAAGAAAAACGTATTCTGCCATCAGACCAGGCATTGTAAATGACATTTTATCTATTTCTTTTGCCGAAGATTGAAATGCAATTTCTGCTACAGATGAGACAGTAGATTTTGCATCACATATATCTTTTAATTATGTTATTTTTCACGATTTTACTACTTTTATAAAATCGTAGCCAGCAATGTGGAACATTCTTTTCAAAATAAATACAAAACGAAAATACAAAAAAATAAATAAAAATAATATAGTAAATATGTCTTTTTAATATTTTCAACATACCTCTTCATTACTCCAGAAATTTTTATCTTCGTTATTTCATGTACGTATATATGCTTGACATTTGGAAACAATTTATGGTAAAATTCTTATTTTGAACAATAATAACTTGGTCATTGTACGCGATAGGAATTTTTTTTTTCGGAAGGATAAAAAGAACAAGTTTTTACCTATGGTAACGTATAACGATATCGGCACAATGTAATTGTACAAAATGGTGAAGCTCAAGAAATCCGTGATCAGCGATTTGAACGTAATGGATTCCTTAATCGAAAGATACACTTCCCATTTCTCTTTCGCGTCCGATATGATTTTCATCATACAGGATTCTATTACTGCGACCAGCAATAACATGATGAACAAGGCGATGTGTTTGTTGATTGACCTACAAAGGAAAGGATTAGATTGCAATTACTTTTCATTTTACGTTCACCAATTTCACCAATTTTTACTTACTTCTCAGCTGTGGAAAATTTGTTGCTCCTTATCTTTGAATTGAGAGACAGCTTCGTATCGTGACCGGTGTAAATCGCGCAACCGATAATATGATCTGTATCTTTCAATCTGGACCCACGAAGCAATAAATTATTGATCGTCAGATATCCATTGACTTCGTTGCTTTTATTGTTTATTTCTAGCTTGCCGTGAAAGTTGTAAAGATCGGATGAGGGATGTTGGCATGTGACAGTAGCCTCCATGGATGCTATTTGCGACATAGTCATTTTTGACAGTATCTTTGGTACCATCACGCTCTAAATAAATAACGATTCAATAACTATCATCAACACAGCGAATTCAATATTTTTTTGCCAAATCGATACTGACTTGTTTTCTAACTCGATTGAGGAAAAAAATTATGTACCTTTAAATTGGTTTCACCATCGAGGTTCGATGTAGTGATGTAGCAACGTTTTGTGTCTTCTGTGCTAAAGAGAAGCAGGAGATCGCAAGGAACATCTTGCTCGCGGTATACCTTCACTAGATCTCCGACTACTATTTCTTCACAATGTATATTCTGAAAATATGAAACAAAGAAATTTGTCTTTTCCAATAATCTCTTCGTTTCCAACAGATACTTATACTGATAACGTTGATCAAAATTTATTCAAATTTTCGATCGTGGAAATTAAAATACTCTTTGTTGCACAATCTCTAAAATTTTTCGACGCAGGAAAATAACAATATCTTAATAGAAAAATGTAATGTATATTTTCTACAATAATAATATGCTGTGTATGTAATAATATAGTTATTTCTTAATAAAATTAATACTCGCCGACTAGTTTGTTATCATAAGAAAATCTGTAGGATATATAGGTATAGAATATATCACTAATGTTTATACTTTTAATTCGTCGATATATAGAATGATTGATTGAATCGATAACGATAGTTTCGCAACAAATTTCATCAATACTCAGTAAAATTTTCATTTAAACTGTTGCGTAATTTTATAGACTAGATACTTAATTTTAGTTCTTCTATCACACTCGTAATGATAATTACATAATTGTTAATTAATAAATAAGTTATAGAAGTTTTAAAGTCAAAGAACTGTACATGTCGACTTTCGTATACGTAAATTTTTATTATTGCTTCATCATATAATCAATAACGATCTAGTTATATCATTTTCAGTTGACAGAATGATTAAACAGTATAGTTCTTTTATATTTCTTTGTTATTGACACTTTAGAGAAAGCTTTGTTTGGATGGATATTGTTAAAATAAAAAAAATATATTGATTCCACAAACATTGTCTTAGCCAGGCTAAAATTTTCCTGGTTGTTGTGTAATTCCATTCAATCAATTTTTAACTGTCACTTTTGAAGGCCTTGAGTATTACCAGAAGCGTAGTTGTACCAAGGTAGATCCGCCCCTGCGTCTACCTGCCATTTAAGTTTGGGTTAAATTTACCTGCGAGTGAACTTAAACTTAGGTACAGTGCTGACCTAATCGCCTTACAATCGATATTATTATTCTGACCCTACTATATAACTGTTAGTCAGCTTAGCCTGTCGTTAGAACGAGAAAATAAATTCTCCTTGTATTAAAAATTCAGACACGAAACAAACTCATTGTGTTACGAGCTTCTAATATAAGCATGCTCGTAAATAATTTTAAACCATTAACATTAAGCTACGCTGTAAACATTAAAATAAAAGGAACGCATTGAAAAGCTTTCCCATGGATATTTCGAAAAAAAAAAGTAAAGTCGAGCATTGGAGTCGTATACAATATAAGAGAAAGTTGTTCAAAATACTTCTCTCTGTAAATCCTTGCACCCTCGTCCGTATAATTTCCAACTTTGCATTTAGAATTAATTTCGACAGGCATAGATCGATGCAGTTTGCTTCAAATACATTTGTCAATGCAATGTGTACTCACCTGTACGCACTTGTTGCGAATGACTTTGACGAATGTTCGGTTTACTCGTTTGTCTGCCATGTAACGATTATAATCTTCGTAGCCTTGCTTGCACGCGGTCACTAATATGACGAAACTTAAAGGGAGAACGCTGGTCAATGGAGAAATTGGAGATGTTATCATCACAGATATTATCGTCATTATAAGGAAATAAAAGTTCGCAATCCGTCTGAACTGCTCAAAGAGATTCTTTGGTACAAAGTTCCATAGTGTGTACTGTAAATAAAATACGATACGAAAAAATGAATTACACTGATAGGGCGGGCTAATATAATACGTTCGTTGCCGATTGTAATACTTACTTTTTTGGAGATAATCCGATTATTTGGAAAAATTGTTTGCTCTGGATCGTTGCTCGGGCTGATAGTTACAATCCTGTGATCCGTGTATAAAGATGTTGCATTACCCTGCACGAAAATATTCGAATTAATTGGGAATCCGGCAGTGACGTTAGATCGTCAATGAGTATTCTATACACTTGCATTCATAAAGAACACCACGTGGGAGAAAGCGTATTGGGTTTTTAAGAAAATTGGCACGCGTATCAATTTCTTCGACTTGAACCATTTTCTGCGACTGAACTGCAATATTCTTTTACCGACCGATTGCACGTCCAACTGCGAGACTAAGTAGGGCAGGTTAATCAAATCATCTAAGGGTTGTGTAACATGTTGCATCATTTCATCTCACTTTGTCTCACAATGGCGAATTACTGATTTCTATCTGAAACGAGATAGAAATCAGTCCTTCTTTCTGCGAGAAGGTATCAGAAGTTGGAGTAAAGACGTGTCGTGAAAAGCGAGAGAAGTTGCACGTTCATCGATCGATTCGTTCGTTTTATTTTTTTTTTTTTTTTTTT